TGACTCCTCTGGCTTGTGCAAGGTCACTCTCAAGGGTTCTTTCCCATTAAGAACTAGCCTGGGAGTCAAAGGACATGGTTTTTATCTTCTTGCCTGCTGTGAGGCCTTGGTTGGGTAGTTTGGCTTGTTTGGACTTCAGTTCTTTTATCTGTAAGATGAGTGGAGGTAGACTAATTGTCTCTGAGCAGCCACTTAGCTGAAGTGGTTGAGGATTCTAGCAGCTGCGTGCTTATACATGTAGAACTCCCTGTGTCAGCAGACTTCAGAGTCCTCCTGGGTTAGGGAAGATATAAGAACCAATGAGACCTAAAACAGCATAGTTCATCTCTGCAGACTCTGGGAAGGAGGGATAGAGGGAGCAGTGTACATCATAAGGCAAAGACAGTGGAGTTAGTTATGAAACTCCCAGGATTTTGGAGCCTTAATTCTCAATGCTATCAGTTTAGCAATCTAGCATTTCATTTTGAGAACATGATTCTAGGAACTTACTTCTGTGAGGTCAAAGCAGTAAGATTTATTCCTGTACCCCATTTCCGGTAGCATAGGAAGACTTTCACAAGCTTATAGAGGAAATAGCACCTTTCATGGAATTTAGGCTCTTGAAGTGCCCTTTAAAGGTTGCGTAACCCTTGCTACTTAAAGTGTCTTTTGTGGACCAGCGGTATCAACATCATCTGGGTTCTTGTTAGAAACACAGAATCTCAGGCCCCACCCCAGACCTCCTGTACCAGAAACAGCATTAACAAGATCCCCATGTGATTCTCCTGCATATTAAAATGTGAGAAGCACTAGTCCCAGCCCTGCACTTGATTCTTCTCCTTCACATCCTGCTCAATCTTTCTATTCCTGGCCACTTTTAATATCTTTTTCCAAATGGTCTTGTTTCATCCTAGCAGCAACCCAACTTTTGGAATTTCTTTTCTGTCTGAGGCCCCTCAATCATTCAGTAACATCTACCATTGGCCCTCAGTGTAGCCTTAGGACTCATGGAACCAAATAACTTCTCTCAAAATAACTTCAGGGCTTCTTATCTCCTAGTCCTCACAGTTTCTAATATTTCCCAACCAGGATACATTCCTGAATATCCCAGCTTGTTTCAAACTCACCAGGGCCAGGCAGGTAACACAAATGAGTGATGAGGGGCAGGTGAAATGCAAGAAGGATTGGTAGGGACTGTGGCAAACTGGGAAGACATGCCCCATCCAAACAGCCCAGCTGTCGAACTGAGGGAAGTCAGCCCAGTACTGGCATATCTTTTAGGTTTTCAAGAGAAGCCAAAAATCTTGATAAAACTATATGAAATCTCCCTGTTTTCACACTAGAATTAAGAAAAACAAGATAAAACAACAAGCAACTTGAAAGCCACCAGCTTGTTTGCCAGTGACCACATTTGGCCCACAGGCCTCAGCGTCTTGCAACCTTCTATGATCATCATCTGCTCAACTTGATGTGACCAACACAGAACAGGCAGGATTATCATCGGCTTCATTGTAGACCAGAAGTTCTCAAACTTGAGCATGTATCAGAATCTCTTGGAGGGCTTGCGAAAACACGCATTGCTGGGCCCTACCCCCAGAGCTTCTGCTTCTAGAGGTCTAGGGTGTGACCCTGGGAATTTGCATTTCTGACAAGTTCCCAGGTGCTGCCCATCCTGTCCCCTTCAGGTACGACACTTTGAGCACCATGGCTTTAGTTTTGTGCCTTCCATTAAAGGAGCCTCAGTTTGCAGAGCCTCTAGTCCCATCAGTGAGCTGAAGTAATCAACCAAAGCTTCCAGGCTGTGGCAGCAGAAGAGGAAAAAGAGATTGGGAGGGAGGGCTGGAGAAAGGAGAGCTAACTAGCCCCTAACTGATAACCCTCACATCACAGAAACAGAATATTACCTTGGGTAGATTCCTGGCCTACCCCAACGCTTGGTTTCTCTGTCTGTGGTATAGGAAAGTGGTCTTAGCTCAGCTTCCAAATATGTTTGTTTGCTTGTATAGGAGATTTGATATCTATTTATTTTTAGAAGAACTGTCTTCAAATGAAATCCCACAGGGAACCCCAATACATAAAACAGATATGTTGCTGCTCTGATTGAAGAGCAGGCAGAGCAAGCCCCTACTCTCAGCCTTCCTCTTCCCAAGGCAGTGCTGGGGGGTCCTTTCCTGTAGAACTGTATCCTGAACTGATTAGATGGTTCCATAAGGACCTTCCAGCTCAGCTTCTGTGATTTCTAAGAACCCTGAGAATTGTTGAAAGCATGCAGCCTTAGTTTTTGTAGTCTTTTTCCCCCTCTCTAACCAAGACATGTAGCACACCAACTTTCAGAATTATCTTCTTGGAATTCTGAGAATACAAAGGATTGTTATTATTACTAGAGCTGTTATAAAGATGTTGAGCCATTGTGGAAAACCTGCTAACAAGGATCAACCAGAGGCTTAAT